GAGCGGAGGGCGCCCGGGAGCGCGAGCGAGAGCCGAGAGCGCAGAGAAAGGAGCGGGCGGGGAGAACGGGAGGAGGGGATTTGGAGCCGCCGCGGCCAGGCGCGCACCGCCACCTGCCGGCCGCCCGCGCCAGCGGCCACCGACCCGGTTCAGCCCCCACCCACGGGTGCAGCACCCTCCCCGAGGACGCAGGTCGGGACCTACTTAGAGTGCAGCCCCCACCCCATGGAAATAGGTCCCAGACCTACTCAGAGCGCAGCCCCCACCCACGGGCGCCGGTCCGGATCTTACGCGGGCACAGCCCCCACTCTCTGGGCGCAGATCCCTGCCCTAGCCCCCACCCCCAGAATGGTTCCACCCCCAGGCAGCCCTCTGCTCCTTTCTGCCCCCCACCCTCCCTGCCTGACTGAAAGGTTTGCTCAGAGTCTGGTGGGAGACAGACCACAGCCAAGTGGACAGGTATGGCAGTTCCCATGGAGTGTGGAGTGGACTAGAATCATGTGTGTGCAGAGTAGAAATGCTCCTTTCAGAAGCAGTTCACCAGACCTTTCTTCTGAGGTGCCTCCCAATGAGTTTGAACAGCACTGGGCCACCCAGAAAGGAGGGAAGTAGGGAGTCCTCCTTTAAGGCCTGCAAGAAATAGACAAGTGTTGTGAGGTTGGAGGGCAACTTTAAGCAGAGGGGAGGGCCTGCTGAGACCCCCGAGCACCCCAGCAGAGACACACCTGCAGACCCGGTGTCAGAACCAGAGACTGGCCCTATCCCAGGAGCCACCAAAGGGCAGCCCCTGGACACAAGATCAGAGGCCATATGGCTGGAGTGTGGACAGTGGGGTCGCAGTCCAGGATGAGGTCTAGCCACAGGGTAAAGCATGGAAACACAGACTCAGAGGTTCCCCCTCAGGGGGGCTTCCAGGACACACCTGCTTAGTACATTTCAAATGATAGGGCCTCATCCAGCACCCCACAGCTGGCCACTTCTGCCCTGCATGCCTTAGGAAAGGAGTGGAGACTCAGCTCCAGGGCAGGGCCAGGGTTAGGTTCAAGTCTGAGTCACTGCCAGGCTGGGTGCCACAGTGCCCCCCAGCCTCCCCCAGGGACTCCTGTCTCAGATGGATGGCAACTCTGCTGGACCTGCTAACCCACCTAGCCAGGTCTCTGAGAGACACTGAGAGGAGAGAGAGATAACAATGGAGACAGAGAGAGACAGAGCCAGAGAGGAGAGAGAGATAAAGACAGAGAGACAGGGATAGACAAGGAGAGAGATAAAGACAGAGCAGGGGAGGCACAAAGACAGAGAGGGAGAGATATAGAGACAAAGAGGCCGAGAGAAGGGGAGAGAGAGAAACAGAGAGGAGGAGAGAGACAGCAGCCAGAGAGCAGAGTTCAGGGAGAGACGTGAGAGCTTTGCATTCACATTCCTAACAGGGTGGAGAATCCATGATTGGACTAGTGAGAAAGGTTGAGGAGCTAAGGACCCTCTCCTCTCTTAAAGGTACACCGTCCCTTCCTTCATGCTCACAGCTCCCCCACCCCTTACCTCCCCTGGGCCCAGCACTGGGGTGGGGGCAGTAGAGGTCTGCACAGTTCCCCCTGTGGAGTGGGCCTGCCCTTCTGGATGTACATTCTGGACTGGTCCAACGCTGGCCCCGGGCCAGCAGAGGAGGGGGACTGACAGCTGTGGAGAACATCTGGCAACCCCGGAATCATCGAGGGCAGTACAGGAGACTGAGATGAGAAGCCCACGGGGCCAGCTCAGGCCAACAGGCACCTCCCCAACCGTGAGGTGAAGGGGCCACTGGGCTGGGGGCTCTTCCACCTTGTGTTTTCATAAAAGAAGGCCTCTGGACCCTGCCCTCAAGGAAGAGGGACCGTGACAGATGACCGACCAGCCTGAGAAGATCTGGCCTTGCTGGGGATCCCGCTGGAGTCTCCCACTATACTCATAATTCACAGAAACCCTGGGAGCACTGAGGTCACGGCACGTCCATCCTAGCGGACTCAGCAGGAACGTAGGAGCTCTGGGGTGGGCTCAGCTCCTCAAGAAAAGGTCCGCAGTCTGAACTCACCCAGCGCACCGCAGGAGCAAGGGCTGGAGATCTGTTCTGGTAACAATTACAGCCCAGGAAACCCTATGGTGCAGCTCTGCTCCCTAACACGGGGTCCACACCATGTCATCCAACAACTGTGACCAAAGCAGCATCACCCTGGCTCTGAGGGTAAAATCGCTAAGGTCTTGGTTATGATTCCCAAACCCGGGGCGGGCGGGGGACGGACTGGAATGTGTTTCTAGAGTGCCCAGTCGCCCAGTCAAACCCTAGTGGGCACCCCTGACCTAACCTTAACGGGGCACCTCCACCCTACCCCTAATGGCATGCCCTACCCTATCTCTAACAGGGCACCCCCATCCTATCTCTTAATGGGGTGACCCCACTCTAGTGAGGAGTGGGGGGGAGCCTGAGCTCCCTCCCAAGGTCAGAGGGGCTTCAACTCCCAACCATCCTTCCCACAGCTGGAACACTGGACAAGGACAATGACAGCGACAGACACGCTCCCTGTGCCCACGAGAAGTGGCCTCTGAGCAGCTGGTCCCCTGAGACTAAAGCAGTGATGTGAGGAAGAATAGAGGTCCCCGAGGAGGCTGAGACCACAGGCTGGATACCTGGAGAGGGTGTCATCCCCAGCCACGCTGGCCCAGGTGCCCTGGGAATCCTAGGAAGATGAAGACAGAGACTGGGATGGAGCAGGACCCCTGGCATGTTCACAGCCACCACCTGACTACAGTGGACAGAGGCAACAGCTGGAGCTGGAGGGGTGACTGGGAGGAGCCAGCAAGCACACACCCACATCACAGCCAAGACACACCCACATCACAGCAGGGACACCCTCACATCACAACAGGGACACACCCCATCACAACAGGGACACACCACATCACAACAGGGACACACCCACATCACAGAAGGGACACGCCCACATCACAACAGGGACACACCCACATCACAGCCAGTACACAACCATATCACAACAGGGACACATCCACATCAGCGCAGGGACACGCCCACATCAGAACACGGACACACCCACATCACAGCCGGGACACGCCCACATCACAACAGGGACATGCCCACATAACAGCAGGGACACGCCCACATCACAGCAGGGACACACCCACATCACA